GGTTGGTGCAGGTAAGTGCCTGGGTCGCTGCCAATCAAAGTTGTCACTAAAGAGGCGATATGCCTTGCAATGTTCGATTACAAGTACCCAGGCATTACCCACGCCGTGCAGCGTTGTCGGTACCGAGACATTGTTGGTAGATACGACGTCATGGCTCCAAAGCTTGAGGCCACTGTGTTAAATTCCACTTGCTTGATTTTATTACTCTCCGTGTTCTGCATCAGGTAATCGGACCGGAAGAGACCGAGGCTGACCGACTGCAAATATTTAATTCTGTGAATTTCTGTCCAATCCACTCAAAGTTTTATGAATATATGATGTTGATGTTATATTCTTCATTTTCTCCGCGTTTGCACCGCCACCTTTCAACTAATATTTACAAAAACATTCTAAGATAAGTAAAGTATTTAAAGACATAATTTCCAATTAATACATATTCTTAAAATAAAGCATTGTAACTTAATTTAAAAAAAACACCGTTCCATTGTTTTTTTTAATCTTGCAAATGTTCAAATACTGTAATGCTGTTGAATGAAATTTGATTAATAAAAAAATTGTAAATGAATTATAAAAATACACAAGAATTTCTGTAATAGATTTTTCTTTGACTGACATTTCAGTATTTGAGCTTGGACTACAATTACTAAAAAAACAAAGTAAATAATAATAAATAACAGAAAATATCAAATTCAATTTCGAATAAGGATTTTGATTTTAAGCTTCCATTTTAAACGAAATATAGAACTGCTTATGCAGCTAAAATGATTAATTCTTATTAACAAACCTAATCAATGGTCGTTGGACGTCACAAGCAGTATTGTTTGTGGTTTAGGAAAACAACAGTCAACTTTCCTATTCATTATCATGTCAATGTTTTACCCATTATGACTAAAAAATAATAACAACATATTCATCTTATACTCATTATATGAAGCTAAGCTTGTTCGTTTGAACGCGGTGATCTCAGGAAGCACTGATCCGATTTGAAAGATTCTTTTTGTGGTGTATAGTGAATTTATCGAGGAAGACTATAGGCTATAAAACGTCACGCTACGATCAATAGGCGCCGAGCAGAGCGGGTGAAACTGCGCGGAAGTAGCTAGTACGTAATATAACTCATAAGGAATACCCTTAAAGATCTAGCTTCTGCCCGCGACTTCGTACGCGCAATCCCGATTTCTCCCGTTCCCGTAGGATTATCAGGATTTTTTTTCTGTCATAAGAACCTTCTCCTGATAATAACAAACACAACAAAAAAAAATCTAAATCGGTCGAGCCGTTCCCAAGTTATGTCGTGACAATGGGAAACGGGTTTCATTTATATATCTTTATATATATAATGCTTCTGTGAGTGTGTATGTCACTGAACTTCTGTCAAACGACTGGACCGATTTTGATGAAATTTTTTGTGTGTGTACAAGGGGATCTGAGAATAGTTTACATTCGCAAATCAGCCCGGCAGATGGCGCTGCAGTCGATGTTTAGGTTATTTATCCTAAACAGCTGAACTAATTTGAATGAATTTTTGTTTATACATTCAAGTGGATATGCAGGACAACGTCTGTTGGATCCGCTAGTACTTATATATATATAGATATAAGTGCAACATCCATCCTGTAAGCCCAGTTTAAGGAAGGAAGCTATACACGGAAGCTATTAATTGACTCATTATTGTGACAACTATGTTATTATTTTCCCGTAAAAAACGTCCTGTTTATACTATAATTGAATATATCTTCCTCATATTATATTACCTATGATTCAACGGGATTGTCAAGGGGTTTTACTACAAAACAATAAGCCGTGATTCAATCCAATGTTAATTGTTAATATATTCCATTCATATATTATATTTATTGTCCTTGTTTATGGTAAACTAATGTCGTATGAGTGTTGAGCATGTTTTTCCCATAGATTTTATTTTTACTAAAGACACGTAAGTATAATACCCGGCACGAATCATTGCAAGATTGTTCATTCTGGGGGTAACTACATGCGTTGTGTATTTCCCATTATAAAAAAGATCATGAGGAAGCCTGGGCTTAAAATTTATAATTACAAGTTCGAAATCCCCAACCCGTGGTGAAGCATGGTGGTTAATGCTCAAACCTTCTCCGTGTGATAAGAGGCCTTTGTTCAGCAGAGGGCAGTTATATGCTGTTCTGTGTACTTTCTCATTATCCCTTACTTTAACGTACAACACAAATTCCGTTCCGTATTTTAACATTAGCTTTCTTTTAAGTAAGCAAAATATGACAACTATAATATTATAAGAATATACATTATGCGCGAACTTCTTCTCATTTTCAAATTCCAAAAGAATTTTGCAATTTTGTTTTCTCTCGCGATAGAAATCCTCATGGTCTTCCTTCATCGTAGCGACGACTGGGGGAATTTCCGGACCATTATCAGCTAAAACCACCGCGGAGTTCCTCCTCTGCCTGTTGCCGTGACCCGGGTCAACGTTGCGGATTCAACGTACTACAAAAAACATCTTGCGCATGATACGTGCCGGGTATTATACTAAATACTAAATTGTAGAACGAATTCTAATTCAAAGATCTCCAAGAAACTAAGAAGGTTTTAAGTCGTAATTTTTGAGTATGTCTATGTATCGAAAATTTGAAATAATTCATTTTGACTGAGGAAACATCCCAATATCGTCATCCCAAATCCCATTAATCGTTATGTTATTCGTCAATTTGTGTTTATCAAACATTTCATGTATGTGTTTTGTATTCAAAATAGGTATAGTAAGTAGCTAAAGAAGACAATAGTCGGTAGTTGATAATGGAAGGCACAATATTGACATGTATTTACTGCTACATTCTACGTCAAATATACAAGGCAGAACGTGGCATTATATACAGCAAAATTTACAAATACAGTTTCAATTTTAATCTATAATACTAACTACAGCCGGTTGTTTGTAAAAATCGTGCAATCGAAACAGATTAAAAAGTATTTAAAAAAAATATCCAGCGGTTTTTGTCATTTGAATTTGAATAATTAACGCCCGAACACTGAAATGTTTTAATTAAATATCGTACTATCTGTAATTTTACAAAGAATTTGTAATGACAGACCTATTATAGAAAAGGGTTTTAAAATTGACTGATTAGAGTATTCCAAACCATAAATTAGTTCGCTTTTTCTTAGTATTCGTTGATATGAACTTTTTGTTTTTAATTTTCAATAAAAAATATACTGTTATTTTTATTTCAAAATGCAACAGATTTTTGTCAAAACAGCCGGTCTTATTATTAACAATAAGCTGGTTTCATTAGCTAGCTAGCTATCTATAACTATAACTTAAGCATAACGAATAATGTATACCATATCAAATTTAAATAAATATTATTTCATTTAATAGTTATACATTGGTAAAATTGGTTTTTTTAGCGGGCAACAAGTTCAGTTGTCCGTAATTAAACAATTAATTAATAATATTACAATCATGCAACTTTAAACTAATAAATCTATAGAGCTGTAGAGTCTAACAAATGAAAACGATCAAAAAAATGGCACCAATTTTAAAAATCAAGCGCTGTCATGTGTTTACCCTGGCTGGCTGTACACTGCGGAAACGGAGTCGATCCTTTTTATTTTTTAAAAAGTATTTGCCTTGTTTCAACAAGGTTAACAAGATGTCGATTTTTTTAAATTGGCGCCTATTTTTTTTCGTTGGTCAGACTCTAACAGCCACATTGAACTAAAAAATCTAATGTGGCCCTACATAAAAAAAAATACTAGCAAAGTCTATGTTAAAAATAATGTTAGCACAATGTTAATTAACAAACATAAAATTAGATAATTCTTTTTGACTTAAGAATGTACACAACTATTCATTATTGTGTAATTACTTTTTTTTTAATTTGGGTACAGTCCTATAGTCGACTAAGTTATAAAATTTTAATTTTGTTTTTTATTTTATTTTTATTTGAATGAAGGCAGTTAGTGTGTTAGTCACAATAATAAAAAGAACTAGAAATTGTCATACTTAATGGTAGGTATCATCATTTTTATATTAATTGAGATTTTGACATGTAAATGGTAGTGAATATGAAAGATATTAAAAAAAATAAGTAAAAAAGTTTTTAATTAAAATCAGATGGTGAAGCGCTTTATATGGTTACACTTGATGGATTGCGAACAATTCTTTGATCATTATACATCAGATGATACATCAGATCACCCTGTGACTGTCTATTGCTGGACTATAGACGTCATTTATTTAAAAAAGGATTGCCATGATCTAAATATGAAAAGCTTAAAAGGCAAATTGGAAACCACGCTTTAAAAAGTATATCATAGAGCGATATTCGCTGTTTTATCTCTATTACATGTGCAGTGCATTATTGATCTCTTGCGACAACTGCGGGAGAAGAAACAGTAGTGACAAAATGTGTTCTGACATCACCACACGGTACTTCAAATGATGAAAACCTGTTTTTTATACCGATCACAAGTATTGAACAATTTCTAGTAGTCTATGTATTAAACATAAATGACAGGCACAACTGAACGTATCGCCCGCCTGCTTTGTTATTTTCAAGCAGAGACCGTTCACTAGCCCCATTCACACATAATTATTAATATAAGTCTATGTATATAATAATAATAATTATTATTATTGATATATATTTCTATTATACTAATGTCCTTTACAAAGGTTACTGTTTATTTACAAAACAGTTGTGTTACCATAACGAATTGTATTTATTCTATAGGCGTGGTTTGTTACTAAGAATATTTTAAAAATAATCGCGTCCTGTGTACATACCTATATCATTTGTGACAAGTTTATGACCAATGTACGAACGAATAATTTGAAATATTAGATGCTGTAATTTGTACCCGGTTTTTAATTTAGATAACTAGCAACGATATTACTTACTTTTTAAAAGGACATGACATTGAAATAAAAACAAATATATAAACGATTTTTCAAAAGAATGTGTGAATGTGGCTGTATAGGAACGAACTCCACGGTCCTCTACCTCTGTATTTCTCTGGAAACGGGTCCAAGGTGTCCGAATCCTGACGCGATGCTGTTGATTTCCACCTGCTTCCAGGAGCAGTATGGGGTGTGCTTAGCACACTGGTTCTCGGTGTGTGGACAGCGTGATTCCAGCATAATGTCGGAGCGCAGCATCCCTAGTGATATCGGCTACGCCACACAGCACATTTTACATGATATTCGAACGCCGCCAGTTAGTATGAACATGAGTGTGATACAAACATTATAGCACATGCAAAAACGATTATCTAACATAATAAAATTAAATTTTATTGAATCTATTAATGTCTATTCAATCGTTTGTGCCTGTGTCAAGATTATATGAACATAACAGGAGTGTGTTTAGATTTTTTAATTTTTTTTACAGTATAATTTAATCTGAAAACTCATTCAAACTATTTTGCATAACGAGAGAAATAAAGTCCTTTTTTATCAACGAAGCAGGGTTACTTAAGGAAACGGAACCCATATATCCCCAAGCAGTCACCGGTGACCGCTCTCCACTAACTACATTATAGACCTTATTTCAAATTTTTAGAGACTACTTTTGTATGCACAAATTTCGGGTATGAATTTCAACAGGTTAACTGTATGAGGTTGTTACTTCTTCTAATTCCGACTAAGTATAACAACTTAGGCACTGAGTCTCAACAAGATTTGGCACAGTGACAGCATTTCACACACATTTATAACTAGGCCACCATCAAAATCAGTTAATGTTGTAATATAAACCTTAATATGTGAGACTTATGGAGCAAATTTTGTTTAAAAACACATGTGTGAATATAAAAATGAAATCAATTGCCAGCTATGTAAACCACACTCATGTTTTGTTCATAAATATAATTAATGATGAGTTACCTGTGTTATGCCCTCATTGCGTACTTTCACCCATATGTCGTATAAACTCTTCGTAAACTCATCAACTTGCAATGCATTTTGCAATGTATGCTCCAAAAATTCATCATTATGCGCCACCTACAATTAAACAAAATATTCGAGGTTGATTATGACACTTAAAAAAATTTATTTAATACTTATTTTATATTGTAAAAAAATTGTATATGAATGTTCTATCAAATAACTTTTTTTAACAACCTTAACCCTTGAGTCCTTATGAACACCCGGTGGATCATAAGAAAAAATGCTCCATGCTGTTTTCTCTTTTATAAAATCTATTATTAATGTTTTGTTTTTATTTTGACTGTATTTTTTATTTCTATTGTAATGATCCTTGTTTTCATGTGCCAATGGCCAAATAAATGCATTTTCTTTCTTTAATATTTCTTTCTCCTAATGTCACGTGTGCACCCATTGGATCATCCCTCTTCTTTTGAAGTCGGTTAATTAATATACCTTTTATTTTATTTTTTGTATTATATTATGGATTAATTCTCCACGGACTCTAGGTCCGTGCCCTTGTCATACAATTTTTTTATTATAATACATCTTGTCAATTTCTATAAATTAATATAACTTAATACCTATATTACTGTATTATTAATATACCTTATCCTAAGTGTAACAAATACTTTCCTGAAAACCTCATCGAAATCAGATGAGCCAATTGCAAGATAATTGCGCACAAACATATATACAGGTCAAAATAAGAACCTTGTTTTTGAAGTCTGTTAAAAATTATGAACATGATGTCAATGAATGAAAGTATGATTATCTTAATAGTTAAATATTAATTGTTAGCATAATATATAAATTAACATACCTTATGCATTAGTTCATTTAGTATTGGCTGTAATTCAACAGCTTTCTCAAATTCCGTTTTTGGAAATGGTGATGGCAGTAACACAAATGGTGCAACCTGTAAAAAAAATAAAAAGTCAATATTTTTTTTTTTTATTAAATGGAGGAAAGATTCATTTTTTAAATTAAAGTTTTAGTTGCTGTTTATTCCCTAGCGAAGCCAGTAAATTCTTCTTTATGACATTCAAAATATTGTTTTTTAATTCCAATAGACATTTTAATCAATTTTATTGTACTATTCTATGGTATTTGTGTTTTTTTAGTTGAATTTGTAATTATGTGTACTTCTTCAGCATGAAGTAATGGTAAAATGTAGAGAACTTTTACTATAAATATTAGACACCAATTGTATTTTTTCACCTGCTTTATAAATACAGATAAATCTTTAAAAATATTATGTCTCTGCTACAATATTATTAAAAAAAAAACGGTTTTATTTGAAATGATGAAAAAAACTATATTTACTACCCTGTTAATTCTCAAGCAAATAAAAAGTTCATAATAGGCATAATCTGAATATAATTATCAAACATTTAAACTAATCCAATTTATTTATTTACAAAACAATTCTATTTTTTATTATTTGTTTTGAGGTAGTTATCCATTTTTATTTTATTTCATGTGCATCATGCTTACTATGAAGATTTATGACTATTTAGATTTATTAAGCTCAAGTATCCCTTCGCATAAGAGTCTCAGTAGGTATACCATTGTGATTTAATAAATTATAGTATAAATAATGGACTATGAAAATTAACTAACTGACTTCATTTAGTCATTATATATATAGAACATTATCTACAGAAACAATACTCCATATGAATTCTATTTTATTAATGTAGTTTAACAGAAACCTTTTTCGTACTACAGTAAGATAATGTTTTTTTTTTATGATGATGTAAATGTGATATAAAAAAATAACCTGAATAACATCTTTGTTGAAATGCTTCTTATCTCTCATGGCTACTCCATGCATTAAACCCCAGTCTCTAGCCTTTTCTATCACGTTCACTAATGCTTTATGCTCAATGGGCAGCGGAATACACGATGCAAAGCGAGCTTGCGACATTTTGCAACACAGAAATATCACCAAATAAATATGACCAAACAAACTTCACGATTTTAAATGCACTACTGTTTAGCTGTGCGCGTGCTTCAGTGCTTATTGTTGAACGACGTATAAGTAATTTTGAATAGTTTGTTGTATTTTATAGTCTGCCTGATAGCTAATTCATCGTTGCATTCGGTTTTTTGTGACAATGACGTTTGTTATTGTCAATCATGACAAGTTTATGATGACAGGTTGTCATTTGTCAAAGCAGACGACAACCGTAAATGGCTCTTATTCGTAAATACTGAAAAAGACAATAAAATAAAATAAATACTTGATTTTTTATGGAATAGGAGAACGACGAGCATACGGATCACCTGATGATAAGCGATCAGCGCCGTCCATCGAAACCTGCAATAATAAAGGTGTCACAGTCATACAGCATTTATCATTCACTATGGTTAGAAATCTTATCCGCTCCGCTCCGGCTCAAACATCATTTTAGGAACGGGGTAGTTTTTAGTCTCATCTCCCTCAAAGCGGGAGAAATCAATGGAAGATTTCCCCTTTGAAAAAAATTAGTCGATTGGAAGCCACTGCAACACGCCATAACCACGACATTCCATGCCACGCTAATGTTTCTGCTTTTAGATATTTTCACATTTTCATAGGTCTATCGATCTGTAAACAATATGTTTATCTGATGCCCGACCACTTATTTCAGTTATTAGGTCAGACGGAGTTATTTCAATATTAAACTTAGCTGTATTGTATGAGAGTACGTCAACATTTTAAATAGAAGAAGAACAGTCTCAGCAGTGTCTAGTATTATTGTTGTACTTTTATATTTTTGGAATGATTTAGGTAAAGAATAACAATTTTGAGAACTGTACTCAGGATGGGGCACATATTATTAAAATAAATGGAACAGGTCTGCCATTTTCCTGTTTGTTGGAGCATTTAAGGCCGATTCAATAACACAAGTCCCTGATGTTTCTAAAAGTTCAATTGGATGAATACGCGTAAAAGTAAATACATACATATCACTGCTGAGTAAATCTGAGAGGGTTAATTGCTTTACAGCTGATCATTCCTCTTTCCATACAGGAAAAGAAATTATTTGATTCATAAATTTGAGCATTTGGAAATAAATTAAACTTATTCCCGAATCTCCGTAAGTATTACAATGAGAAAACCAACAATATTTTGTGTTTTCGCTTTTATTAAAAACAGGATTTAAACTCATTAGCCTAAACTCGAAAGCAAAGTGTCGTTCTTAGACAACTTCTAAATTTCCGCTGCTAGAGGCGCGCGGATAATCTTTGCATCGCCAATACAAGGAAATTAGGAATATCTTCTGTATAGTGCATCTATAAAAGTACCACTGATATGATAAAGGTATAAACATATATTTAAGTGTGATATATATATTTAAGTTTGGGAGAGCCATGCTTCGGCACGAATGGGCCGGCTCGACCGGAGTGATACCACGGCCTCACAGCCGACGTGAAACAACGCTTGCGTTGTGTTTCGTCGTGTGAGTGAGGTTACCGGAGGCCCAATTACCCCTCTCCCTAGTCTCCCGAATCCTCGAATCTTCCACAATCCTCAAATTCCAAATTCCCAAAAGGCCGGTAACGCACTTGAAACGCCTTGGTGTTTCAGGTGTCCATGAGCGACGCCGATTGCTTACCATCAGGTGATCCGTCTGCTCGTTTACCGGCTTATGCTATATAAAAAAAGGTATAAATATGAAAGAGGTACCTACAAAAAAAACGTGCCTACCTAAATTTCACTTTTTATTCTGTAATGGCGGATAGAATTAGGGATGTGACTTTTGAAACAGTAGAAGTATCGATATTTTGGTATTGATTTTAATTGGCTAATCGATAAAATATCATTATTTCACGATTCATCTGGATTTGATTTTTATCTAGCTACTAAAGACATCGCCCGTAGGCTAATCGACTCTACACGTGACCAGAGGGCTGGATTTTTCTTCGGACAGAAAATAAGTATTGCCATTCAACGTGGCAATGCTGCCAGTCTTCTGGGAACTTTCCCCTGTGATAGTGATGCGGACGAATACTTTGACGCCTAAATTAAGGGTATAATTTTTGTTGTTTTCTTTTACTTTCTTTTTATTTAATAGTTTAGTTGTAGTTAATTTTAAGTTGTAAATATTTATGTAGTTATATAAGCTACTAAACATTACCAAAATATTTTCGAAATATATTTAGTAGTTACTGCATGCATTGGGGAGGGGAGGAATGGAATCCAGTAACGTGGCGAAACGCATAACGCCAGTTTTCCGTGAAACCGTGGTATCACTCAGGTCGATCGTGTCCATACATTTATATCATAACTTTTACGATACATATGTATCGTAATTTATGGAAAGGATTTTCCATCAACTGATCAACATTTACATACTTAAGGTTAAGTAATTATTGAGGGTTGAAAAATAAAACTGTTTCAAAGTATTCATTAAATCAAGATTTATAATATACAATACCTTTGTATTTTTAAGAAAAATAATATAATATAATAAATATATGTATATTTTCTTTTATATTATTTATATTTTCTTTTATATTATAATTTGTGTAAAAACTTAATTTGTGGATCACATAGAAAATTGTTCATCGTAGTAATCGAATACGTTACACCATAATGCATTATCCGGTTACCGTGTAGTTTGAACCACATTAAAATTAGTCTATGGTTTGAACCTCTTCTTGTCTATGGTAAATTTAATGTCTATGGTGTGACCATAGACCAATTGTATGTTCATTCCATAGAGCTTAGTTCATTCACTGAATTCAGTCTGTCAGTCACTCACCGGTTTGATTTGATCTGACATCTGACACAGTGCCACTACAATATTCATTCACCACCTTTGTTCAATGTTCACTTCATCATCATCACACTTATCCACTTTGAAATTGAATTTTATTAATTTGAAGCAGTTTTCTTCTTTGTTTGTCTGTTTACGACCGCATTTTTGTTATGGAAACTCGACATACAATTATGTTATTATATTAACTCGTCGAGTACCGTATTTATAGACACAATTAAAGAACAATAGGTTGCGGTCACCGGTGACCGCTTGGTGTTTGACAGTTTAAAGACGTGTTGTAGAAATATAAAAAGAATGTGACGAACGTGGTGATTTTACGAGGTGGTTTACTGGTTTGTTTCCCCTCAATCGTGAATTGTTCCGTGATACCTTTGGTCTGATCATCTTGTTGTTCTCTTGTTCTTGTTGTTTCTCCTTTGTTTCTTTTTGGTTGTATCTGGTCTGGGTAAGTAATTGTGTCGTTTAGAAACAATCCATTCGGGTGTATTTATGAGAATCAACGACTTTTCGTTCTGATCTCCCTGCACAAGCTGTGTTTAGAGTTTAAATCCATATGGCTTCACTTAGACTAGTATTTCTGATTTAAAAGAAAACATTCATAACCATAAAACTAAAAAATCAAAATAATTGGCATATTATTTTGGATTTGACCTATTTCGAAACCAAGCTATGGCTAGTATTGTTATTGATGTAGTTGGATTTGACCACCTTTGATTCTTATTACCATTGATATGACTGATTTTGATGCTAAAACAATATCATGTCGGGGTTCTCAATATTTTGGGTTAGTAACAATAAATATAAACAATTACTTTATAAGTCTTGCTTTATTTGAAAAACCTTCATTTATCATCATTAAAAAAATATAATCAAACTTGTTAAGTCGACCTAAATCCTTTAAGGGGTGGTAGTTGCCATCATTAACCCACTTCCCCAAACTTAACCGTCTCAAGTTATGGGACTTTGAAGATTTTTTATAAAAAGTCCAGATTTTTTGTCTATTGTCCCCTTTTTTTTGTGTTTTGTACCTCTACAGTCAAATCGGGTAACTTTGGACCACTTTTTGTATGTTTTCAATCACTGCTTTTAGGATTCTATTATTTCGGTTAAAAGAATAGTTTGCTCTGTGATCTGGATAGTCTGTGGTTAACGCATCGATAATAAAAATTAAAAAAGAGTGGAGAACTCTATGATAATCGCTGATTTGTAGATGGTCCAAAGTTACATTGAGTTTGGGGTAACTTTGAGCCACCATAAATATTGTTGTGAAAATTCGTGTTTTATACAAATTTTAGAGCATAGGGCAACATTGAGCCATGTTTAAGTGAACAACAATGATTTTTTTCTCTTGGTAAACAATAAATTGTCAAATAAAAATAAAACCAATGCCCCCAAAAGTCATCAACACGTTAAAGGCATATGGATTAAAGGATCAAGATTGAAGATATAAAATGCTTTTTATGTTCTTTTTTTAAATAAAACTTTACTGTTTAAATGGTACAAAAATATATATTTCTTCAGCTTTCGATACATATGGGTGATTATACAAAAGTTGGGTAACTCTTGAGGATATTTTGTTTACTATAGTTATTAAATCAAATTTCTACAAATTCGGGTGTATAAGATGGCTAATCTAATGAATATATTGTTCCACATCGGGCCAGTCACTTTTTTAAGTAGATTGTGAGATATTTCAAATTTTCAGAATTTGACTGCCAGGGGACTGACGAGGGTAACATAGTACTGACAAAATACACCATTTTGTAAGAATTATAATCAAATTTAATAAAAATTGGTACAAATCTCTTAAGATTTAATAATGGCACATGTCTTTTAAGTATTAAAATCACTTAGTAACAATTAAAAATAATTATTAATATGCAATACTGAGAGAAAATACTATCTTAGTTTTCAAAACAGCCTTTTGACATTTAACATAACGTTATTCACTTAACTTTTACTACTTTGACTTAGTTTTACTTAACATTTCTAAGTAATCAACAATCAATAGAAACAAAAATCTAACAATATTTATCTTAAAAGTACTATTATCATGAAATTAAGAACAATAACAATATAATACTATGAAAGTCAACTATACCAGTCTTCATAACAGCCTTTTGAGATTTTTATAATGTTATATTACTTAACTTTAATA